CAGAGCACGGAGACGGACCAGAGCACGGAGACGGACCAGAGCACGGAGACGGACCAGAGTACGGAGACGGACCAGAGTTGAACTCAATTACTGTGATGATCTTATTGTTGGACTTTGCTGGTCTCGAACGTTTCCAATATCGGATTCAGGACCACAGAGCCAAGTGGCTTGTATCGCAGTGGAAGATCAGATCCAAGTCTCCAATGGGCAAAGAAATCTTTGGGTTTGGTTTATTTGACTGAAGTTGTTCGCTGGACGTTCCCAGCAGACCCTCAGTTCTCTCTTGGTTCCTGCTTTTTCCCATTTAAACCGACAAAGTTCATTTTGAAATGAGCAAAATACAGATTTGCTCTGAGCCAATCAGGTTCTGTTTCATCTGAGTTCAGAGTTTGTAGCACAGCATGAAAGCTTCTATTTGTTAAAGTTCTGTTCCCAAAGTAGCTTCTATAGTGGGTTTGGATGATAATCCCGGAGGAAAAGCTGTTGTCTATGCAGCGTTGAGGTCACCCTGTCTGGGCGCTTTGCCGCTGCCTCTCTCTGTAGGAGAAGCTGCTGCTGAGGGAGCAGCTGTGGCAGAGCGGCGAGGAGCTGCAGCAGCAGGCCGACTTCTGCTCCACGCTGGGCTCCTCGGCCTGCAGCCTGCTGTGGAGCTGCTCCTCCAGGGAGGAAACCATAACCACCTGGCTGTCCGACGTGAGTCCGCCCCTCTGCTGCTGTGGGAGGGTCTACATGCAGTTACGTCTCATTTACTGCGTCTTTTCGCTGTACGGCGCAGGGAAAGCTCCACACCTTCCTGAATATTGCCGCACAGACTCTGGAGAGTTTTGTCAAGTCTCTGGACGAGGAGATAAAACCTCCAGCTGAGGACCACAGCTCCAATGAGAACCAGTTTGTGCTGGCTCTGGTTGGGACCATCACAAGTCAGTCCTTATTACTGGAGAACTTCCACTGATTACTACTGATGCTTTATTCACTCCTTCTGTTCTCCTCCGCCAATCAGATATAGCAGCAGTGACCAGTGGGCGGGACTTCCTGTGCAGCTCAGGACACGTGGTGTTGGACACGCTGATGAAACTGCTGCACCTGATGAGGCCCGGCGTCTTCCCCAAACTGAAAGTGTACGTCGATTCAAACGCAGAACATCTACAGTAGATTCAATCAGGCGTTAAGAAAAAAACACGTCAAACCAGAACTTTCCATCCATCGTACAAAAAACAAATTTCCGCAACATCACTCTGAAATATTTACATCTTTTTTCTTTGTTATAAGTTTGGAGATTATTTTCTTTTCTATAATTCACCACAGATATAAAGTAACATGGATTATTTAAAAACAAAAAACACTTTTTCTACATTAGATATTCTCCAAGAATTGTGAATTTTCTATATTTCCAAAAATCTTTTTTAAACCCATTTTAGTCACATATGGTTGTTTCATATTTATATTTTGACATAATAATGAAGTAAATGCATCTATAGTCTATGTGAAAGTCAACTTTATAAAGAATTCAAACGTCATGGAAAAGGCATTAGCATCAACCAGGTTTCGGTGCGTCTGGTGGTATGGGCTGGGGCCATCTTCATCCTAGCACCACTTAATCCACTTCATCTAAAACCATGAAATAGATTTAGATAGAAAGCATCCAGAAAGACAGAGAACTATGGCTAAGAGATCCACAATCCTCAGCCTCTCTGGAACTTTGGGGCTCAGATTCTCAGCAGCTGGACGCGCCGCATCAACCAATGAGAGAAGCTGATCTGGGAGCTGGCAGGGAGTCAGACGCAGCACTGCTGATGCAGAGCGCTATGATCACTCCTCTGAAACAGTTGATTAACGCCTAAATTAACTTCAAATGTAGAAACCTGCCGGCAGAATATGTTGGCTTTTATTATCCTGCTGCCTGCAGTTTGTAGCAGCGCACCGAGTGCGTCCGTACCGTCATGTTGTCTTTGGACCAGCGGTTCTGATGATCCGTCACGTTTTCCTCTGTTTGAGCGAACCTTAATGAACGGTGTGGGTGTTCTGCTGCAGGTTGATGCTGATGGCTCTGTATAACGTCAGCATCTGCGTTAAAGGACTGAAGCACATCGCCCAGAATGAAGATCTGATTCCACTCATCTGGACGCTGCTGGACGGTAGGGCGGCTCCATAGACCTATATCAACCAGATCCATGAAATCCAGTCTGAGGGGGAAACCCTCTGCTCTCTGATTGGTTCCCTCAGCGTCTGAGCACTGGGAGGTGTGTCTCCACTGTCTCCGTCTCCTCCAGTCCTTCCTGCTGGAGGACGACGTCCTGCTCCTGCTGGGATCCCGTCTGCTCGACCAGGAGCTCCGCGCTCGGGTCGGACGCCTGACCTCCAGCACTCAGCCTGGTCTTAGAGCTTCTGCCCTGCAGACGCTGGAGGACCTGAAGGCCCTCTGTCCTAAAGATGGGAAACCTTCGTAAAAATGGAGTCGAATGCGTTTAAGAACCAGAAATCTTCATCTGTTGATGTCTTTCTGACAGGTTTGAGCTTTATATGCAGAGTTAGCTACTAAATCAGACCTGACGTCGTTCTTCAAGTTCTAATCCAGATTATTTTACAACTTTATGGTTTCTCTGGGAATCTTTTCCTCATTCAGTGCAGATATAAAGGTTTGATTTCCAGAAATATTGTGTTTTTTGTGGTCATTATGTGTAAATGTTTTCAGCAGTGGCGGTTCTAGACCAAATGTACCCAGGGGCCAGCAGGGGGCCAAGAGGGGGGCCAGCGTGTTTTCATGGGGGAACAGAAAAGCATGAAATAATAAACAGGCAAAGAGATTCAAATGTATTAAAATAACTGCATGAAGTAAAATTTCCATTCAAGTAGGTCAAATTGAAATCATATTTCACCTAAAAATATTTATATTTCCACTAAAAAAGGTAAATTGGAATAACCGTAAAATCAAAAAAAAAATCCTTTAGCATAGCATAGAAGCAGCTAAAACAATCCCATAGCTATATAAATATCAAAAAGATCAAATAAAGCTATTATTTTGGAATATTGGGTCAATAGAGATTCATAATTTAGGAATTTTACTAACTTTTACCATTAATTTAAGTTAAAATTACATTTTAGTATAAAATCAGAATTAGAACTCATGAAAAACTGATAAATTCAGCTGTAAAAATT